CTCAAGTTTATCACTTATACTACTCAAGTTTAAAGCATCATCACTTTTCACCTGAACCATTACAAGTGCCTCCTAATTGACTTCTCTGCTTTTTTACCCTTACCCACTATGGTCCGTTTTCAACACAGCAGCCAGAGTGATCCATTAAAAATCTAAGTTAGTCATGTCACAAGTCCACTCAAAACTTACCTAGCCAGAGTAAATGCTGAAGTGCTATGACAGCCTACAAGAGTGCAGGAGAGGGACCTTCTGGGGTTTCTCCAACCTCATCTCCCATCACTCTCCCCTCACTCACTTGCTGAGGCAGTACAGAACTCTCTGCTGTTCCCTGAATACACCAAGCTACTGTCTCTGCCTGGGATACTCTCCATCCAGATATCCCTTTAGGTCAAATGTCACATTTCAGCGTCAGTGAGATTTTTCCATGTATCAGTACCCCATGCTCATTCCTGTCCTCCATCTCTACTTTTGCTGGTTTTTTTGAGACATGGTCTCAAGCTGTCACCTTGTGTAGACTGCCATGGCCTCATAGCTCACAGCAACCTCAAACGCTTGGGCTCAAGCAATCCTCTTGCCTCAGTTTTTTATTTTTAGTAGAGACGGGGGTCTGACTCTTGCTCAGGCTGGTCTTGAACTTGTGAGATCAAGCAATTCACCTACCTCGGCCTCCCAGAATGCTAGGATTACAGGCATGAGCCACCGTGCCCAGCCCATCTCTACTTTCATTTTTCTTCATCACACTTAATTTTGAGCTTCACCATTAGAATACAAGCTCCTCAAGGTATAAACTCCTGCCTTTTCTTTTTTTACATTAAATTCCCACAGAGAGAACAATACCTGGCACGTAGTAAACACTCAATAAAATATTTGTTGAATGGTTCAATTTTAGCCATTACTACACTTCTACTACTATTGATCTCACTTCTACAATATCCAAACAAGTATGGGCTTTATATGAGACTGAAGTATACCAGAAAGCCAAATTAACGATTTATAATGAAAAAAGAAAATCAAAACAGCACAAAATATTTCACTTGATAGAAAGAATATTCCTAGAAAAGCAAAAATCTTTTTTTTTTTTTTTGAGACAGAGTCTCACTTCATCGCCCTCAGTAAAATGCCATGGCGTCACAGCTCACAGCAATCTCTGATTCCTGGGCTTAGGCAGAGTTTCACGGTGTCACC